CAATTACTTACTTTTCCGTAGGTGTGTTCCGTGTAATTTGTCATCTAGAGCCCTAATGCCTTCCCAGTCTACAGTCCTAGCCCACACCTCCCTGCTGAGCTCCAGGCTCCATATTTCCTGATGTCTTCTGGACAACCACATGTTGGAGATTTTTAACAGAATGTCCAACAAGCACTTCAAATGCAGCTTGTCCCACATAGAAGTGATTACTGCACTTGTAAAGGTCATTTCTCCATCTGCATTCCCTAATGGCCTCATTGCTATCTTCCAATCAGAAACGTGGGAGATGTTCCAAACTCCACCCTCCCAGCCAAGTTGTCACTGGGTCCTCTTGATTCTACCTTCTAAGAAGCTCTTAAATTTGGTCTCTGTACTCTAGCCTCAACTGTCATTGTCTAATTTGGGGTCCTCAGTATAGTGGTTTTCTTAGGTCAGGTTTTCTGGGAAACAGACAACTGGGCTTCTGAGTCTTGCATGTAGGCACGCTATTGGAGAGAGCTATGGAGAATAACTCCCACTGGGGGAGTGGAGGAAGAAAGACCAGGCTGAAGAAGTTGAACTTCGATATAGTTGCAAGAATAGCCTCAACCAATCCTTGGGGTGCTCTGGAACTGGGTAACCCTTCAGAATTGTCCCAACTTGATGCAAGGGGTTGGGGAAGGAGGTCCTTAAACCAACACATTCTCACTCTCTTCATCCTCCATCCTTCACACCCCCATCCCCTACCTTCCTCACTGCCCACTGGATGTAGAAAGCCTCCCACCCCACTCCCAGGGTAGCATAACCTTTGGCCAAGGGCAATACCCAGAATGGCCCTCAGCTGAGAGCCAACAGCCACCAACTTTTCTAGCAGGTGGAAGGTGAATGTCTTACTCTAAATGGCATCAGGGTGGCACACCCCAGCATCCTTTTCTCTATTCTTGCTGCTTGTTGGTTTTTCCCTCACAACACCACCAGAACGGTTTTTTCTAAACCCAAATTTAATCACACTACACCCTTTCTCAAATCATTCAGTATCTCCTCCTTACCAACAAGATAATTCAGTTCTGATCTCTGCCTACCTGTGAAACCTGGCCTTCCACAGCTTTCCTCCTTTTATGTGCTCGTGCCCCCACTAACCCCAATCTACTAATGTTTATCAATCCTACATGAGTGCTGCTCCCCCTACTGGGCATGCCTTTGTCCTACTTCTTTCTAACAAATTCCTATTCATCCTTTCCAGCCCAGTGTAAGCACCCCTTCTTTTTGATGCCTCCTTTAATATCCCCAAGGAGAAGTAATATCCTGTATACTCTTTTTATACTCACAGTTATTTGCTTCTGTGACCATAAGAGTGACCTCCTTAAGAACAAGGCCTGTGTTGTATTCATTTTTTTTAATGTTTATTTACTTTTGAAGAGAGAAGGAGCAGAGAGAGAGAGGGACAGAGGATCCAAAGCAGGCTCTGTGCTGTCAGAGAGAGCCCAATGTGGAGCTTGAACTCATAGACCTCGAGATCGTGACCTGAACCAAAATCAGAAACTTAACCGACTGAGACACTCAGGCACCCCTGTTGTATTCATTTTTGAAGGCAAATGAATGAATCAGTCAGCCATGTGCATCAGTATTGTGTAAAGCTGGGTCTACATGGGCTGATTCAAACTAACTAGAATTGCCTTCAGTCTAGTCAGCTGTTTTTTCAGAGACTTAATCTAGTTGCCCAGTGACGGCTATAGGTGCCTCTGGGGGCAGGGATTCTATTTGGGGAATCTCAGCTGGTTCACTGTATGTGGCTCAATGCTCTGAGGGATGGGGCATTTAGTACATACTTCCCATTATGTTAATATTGCCTCTCATGTTGAGAAGGGGTGGAGCCAGTAACCTTCAGGCGATGTTATGAAAAGTACCATATGGCCTGACTAGCTAAAACTGTCTCTTTTATGACTGAGCTATTCCCTCATGTTTTTTTCTGAAATTCTCACCATCATATTTCCCTATGATTGGAATTGGACAAGTGGTCCTTTGGTTGGGGTGAATGGATGCTAGGGCCTGAGGAAGCTAATTCATCTGGAGAAGAGAATTTCTGTGTCTATTTATTTTTTAGTCGTTTCAAAATTTCTATATTTTGTGTATATTTTATTAAAAGCATACTATTGTAGAATAACACATATATACATAATTTATAAATAAGTAATATTAGAAAGTGTACACTCAAAAAAAAACATTTTTTATTAAGTAGCACATGGTTACAACATTTTAAAGACTCCTTGATTGGACTCCAAAGATTGGAGTCTTCTTCAGCCTTCACCCTTTAACTTTGCAGCTGATCTGATTGCTGAGCTAATTTGTGCTAAGGCCTTAGGAAAACCCTGAAATCCAGGAGTTGAAGCAATTAGAAATGACAGGTACGGGCAGGCAGGGGAGCAGGGCCGTGTGTGGAGAGCACAGAGACTGCATCTGTCTAAATCTAATAAGCCATCTGGTAAGAAACTGAGAACCTGGAATAAAAAGAGGCAGGAGGTGGAGCAGGAACCACTGAGGAAGGCAGCCATCAGGAGGTATAAGGAGACATGAAAGAGTAAGAGCATTTCAGGCAGAGACAGAGACCAGGATGTGGTCACGTGTTGAGAGAGTGAACTTGTGGAGGTTCTGGGCTTGGAGGGGAGCCTGGAACATGCCAGAAGCAGGTACATCCTCCCGCTGCACACCCCACTAAGTGTGTTGGAAGTGACAGTGGCCTTGATGTGCTGATGTGGGCAGCTGAGGTTCAAGCAGCCACCCTACCACCTGCCTGGGTGCAGTGGTTGCCGTCAGCCTCCTCGTCCTCTGGGTTATAGGCTGCACTTGTACCTTACTGCTCAGCGTCGCCAGGCCCGTGCTTCTGAATCTGGTGCATGCATCACTGCACCTGCAAAACCTCAAGAACAAGATTGAGAATGGGATTGAGAGTATTGGTCTCCAGTGGACTCCAATTGGGCTGCTACTAGAGGTGCTGGGACAAGAGCAGGACACGATCCTAGGGGCCTGGGATCTATACACAGACATGGAGAATGCCCCTACCAACTCTGACCTGGAATCAGGGACCCAGAGCCCTTGTCCACAGCCCTAAAAATAGAGCCCCCCTTCAAATTCAAAAAGCAGGACATCTGTGAGCATACCCCCAGGTTCAAAATTGGGATATCCCTCCTACCCAGTCCCAATTGCCTCAGAGACCAGACTCTTCCCCAGCTCTGAACTTGGAGTTTGGAGACCAGAACATCCATGGCCATCCTCAAACCTGGATCCAGGGATAGTCTCCTACCCCTAATCTGGGACCCACCCATCGCCCATTCTCAGCCCCAAAGCCAGGATCTGGGACCAAGGCCTTCTCTTGAACCTTGGACTAAGGCTTTTCCAAACCCCACCCCAGCTTTGAACCCAGGTCAGAGCATTGCTAATCTTGAACCTGAGGCTCAAGTATTCCCAGCCCCCATCAAGACAGAGGATTCAAGCATCCTGACTGCCATTGAACTCTTGGTTCCAGATGATCCCCACACTGGCCAATCCAACCTGACTCTCTCCAGCTCTGCTTAGAGATTCTATGCCTCCTTTCCAAAGTCCCACAGTGATAAGGACCAAGGGGTGGGGTAGGGTGGGGGTAGCCTTAACCCAGAATGAGGCATCTCTATCAGGGTTACTGCAGCCATATAGGCTGTTGCATTGCTCAAGCCAAAAAGGAAAAAAAGAAGGAGAGGAGAGGAGAGGAGAGGGAAGAATAAAAGAGTCGTAGCCTCTGTATCAACCAGGAAGATACCCCATCTGCCTCTCACTGTGACTGGAGCTCATGTCAGAGTAGAACCAGCCAGAAATGAAGAAAGCACTGGCAGCCCCACAGTGTCTATGTAGGGGGCTGAGAGGCAGCATTCCGATTGGAGTCAGCACACAGGAGCCTTCTTAAGTTGCATTAGCATAACTAGAGCATCATTTTTATATAGATTGTACAGTTATTTGGGGATGGCTATAGGGATTGATTGATGATGGATATTAGGAGTGGGTGGAGCATGTTGTTTGCAGTGTAGCCCTTAGTGCCTCTTTGGCAGGTGGAAGCTAGTGAGCCATGTTAGCCCTCAAAAAGGAAGTATGGCACCTGAGGTGAGGAGAAACCCTGATCCAACACCAAACCCCAGGGGGCCCAAAGGCCACATTGGGATGATACACCAGAATAGTTCTAGGAGCCAATAAGCATGATACCTGATCCAGAACCAAAAGGCATGAGCAGGAAATAGGCCTTCAGAGTGGGAGATGAGGTAGGGAAAGAAGGGGACTCCAACAGTAAAAAGGAGGCACAGAGAGACCACAAAAGGGAACATGACTAATATGACAGGTTTACCCCCAATTGTAAGGAAACAGGCTTCACAGCTCCCAAAGTCCTGGTTCCACTAAATCTGTAGAAAATTGTTTGATGGGCATGGAGGTCTTACATACAGAGTTGCCTCAGAAACAAAAAAGGTCAGAAGGATAGCAAATGCATTTCCTTTTCCTATTGTTTTCAGACTCTCTCGGGCTCTTAGTACCACATCTAGGTGGTAAGACTTTGCATTTGTAAAGCATTTCAGTTAACATAAACTTCTGCACATTACTATTTCATATATCCTTACCACAACACAGCAAGGTAAGTTTTTTGCAGATGCTAATATAAAAATTCAAGCAGCAGATTTGTTTTATCAGAACAATACAGAAAATACATTCTGCAGATGAGGAATCTGAGGCCCTGGTGGTGTTAATTGATTTCCCACTTACCACGGACAAGGAGTAGATGCTTATAAAGCCAGGACCCACACCCAGGACTCACAGAACCCCACCTCCTAATTCTCTATCCTTAATGTTACGCTTTCCTCCCAGCCCACCCTGGTGCTAAAATTAGCGGTCAGCAGCCAAAAAGCTGTCCGTGAGGAATGGGAAACAGATGTGATTGGTGCTGCCTTTCTCCTCTTGAATCTCCCAGGCAAGTTTGTTCTAACATCCGCTGTGTTCTGTTGCAGCATGCAAAAGGAAAGAACAAGAACATGGGAAGGATAGAGGCAACACACCCAAAAAGCCCAGGTTGGTCTTCACAGATGTCCAGCGTCGAACTCTACATGCAATATTCAAGGAAAATAAGCGTCCGTCCAAAGAATTGCAAATCACTATTTCCCAGCAGCTGGGGTTGGAGCTGAGCACCGTCAGCAATTTCTTCATGAACGCGAGGAGGAGGAGTCTGGACAAGTGGCAGGACGAGGGCAGCTCCAATTCAGGCAACTCATCTTCTTCATCAAGCACTTGTACCAAAGCATGAAGGAACACCCACAAACTAAACCTCGGTGGAAAAGCTTTAAGTAAAAAAATTTTTAAAAGACCAGGACCTCAAGATAGCAGGTTTATACTTAGAAATATTTGAAGGAAAAAAAAGTGTTATTTATAGTCCAAAGAAACCAAAGACTTAGCTCACCTGCATCTATCTGACTTTGTTCGGAGACACACACTTCAGCGGGGCAACGACTTGGCAAGAAAAAATATGGGCAGGAAAGCACCACTGGATCTCACACCTTCAATCCATAATCATTCTCGCTGTGCTTGGCTGTTTCGTGGTTTGGAGCATAGTGATTTTGAGCCATTGAGTGGACATCTTTTAAGATCAGACTTTCTCATCTGTTCCACCATGCCACGAAGGTGTATGCTGTCTCAGTACTGTGTGTGGGTACGTGAGTGCATACACACACACACACACACACACACACACACACACATACACATGCGCACGCACACACACACACACACACATACCACCAGTGGTTAGGGACTTAGGCAGGGCTGGTCTTCAGGAAGGGTTGTGCTATAGGAGTGCACCCAACATAGTGTGGGGTTGTCTGAGTTCATTGGATAGGAGTGTGATTTCACTCATCTAGCCTAGCGTTTGAACCTGCCAGGCCCGCAACCTAAATGCAGATTCAAACCCAGCAAAGAAAATTTGAATGGCACCTAAACCAGTGCATTCTCTTTGTTTGTTAAGGAATGTTCAGATATTTTTTAAGAAATGAAACAAGAGTCCATCCATTTAAAAAAAAATCACCTAGGTACCAAAGAACACAATATTATAGTGCAGGTATTTTATTGCAATGATTTTAATAACCAAAGCTATTTTTACACAAGATACTATGTAAAGTTATACGTATGAACTGATCTAGCTGTAATACACATGCCACATAGAATCATGACTATTATTTATGACTCTTGAAGCATTTGAAATATTAGTTTTCAGAACTGGCAAGAAAGAATGTAGCTTCAGGGAAGCAATTAATATCATAACAGAGAGGTCAATGTAGTGTACTTGTACATCCAGATGGCACACTCCCTTTGGGGATCCATAAATGATACTTAAGTCGACATATAGACATGATGCCATGAGCTATTCACAGCTGAGAAAACCTGGGGATTCTTCCAAAGTAGGACCCCATTTATAAATTAGAAAATTAAGTTTAACAGAGCAAATAATTAAATTAGAAAATTTGTTCAAAATAATGCTTTTTTAGTAGAAGACCAAAGAATAAAGGATATCATACTTAGATTAATTTGACTTAAAGTTGCTTTATGCATTTGACACCAAGTACTTTTTAAAATATTTTATGAACACACAAAGTGACCAGACCAACATTATTATTAAAATGAACTATCCAGTATTTGTAATCAAATTGATTTTATTGCCAGTCTCAAACATATTATGACTTGAACACAATAAAAATAACAGAGGCAACTGAGAAGTGGTAGAACTCCATAGAAAAAAAAAACAGAGTTCTAGCGGAAGATAAGACTTTGGGTTCTTTTGGCATGAAGGTATTTATTTCACTAAGCATAGCCTCCAAAGTATACTACATTCTTTCTTGCTACTGCATTAAGCTGGAAATTTTCTAAAAGAGAGTCCACTCTCTAACAGGGACAAATTAAACACTAGACTTGAGCTTCCAAATACAAAATTTTCAATTTCTGTTTTTCCAAATCACATAACTAGAGCTGGAGAAACCAAGGGGGAAGAAAAAAACGAATACAGTTGTACTAGCAGTACCCAAGTAAATCACTTGCTTCCCAGAAAAATTCTCTCTGAATTCCATTGAATTGTAACTCAAGCAAATATTGCCTTTTGTAATATTTATTAGGTAATTATTAGGTATTAGTAGGTAAACAATTGGGTACTCTTGGTTAATTAGCACATCTAATTAGAAATATAAAATGAAATGTTATAGGGAAAAATACTGAACCATTTTGACACAAAACCTAACTCCTTAAGGTCAAGTCTCAGCGTCTTGTCTAAGTCTAGAAGAGACAGGCACGTGGAGAGATGAAACTAAATCAACAAGCCCTCTAGGTCTCCTTCATGTCTGCTGTAGAATGAGATAAGCAAACCAACATATACTTCTCCTTTAATGAAATAGCGCATTTGCCTTGACACATTTTGTCTTAGTATTTTTTTAATCTCACACCAGACTCCAGATTAAAATTTCCCTTCTAAATATGGCACAATTACAATTCAACTATTAAAAGAGACCATTTCATTGGCCACCCTTAGAGATTTTGCTTAACATATGATCTTGTCAATGACATAAATCAAAAGGAAAAAACTAACTTTTTCACTCTCTCCGGGAATGGTGGGGGCCAAGGTTACAGCTATATAATATATTTATAATTCAGGAGGGAGGAAAGCCTTATTTATTTAAAACATTAGAATATTAAATGCCGGGAAATTCAAGCTGTGTCTACACACAATCTTACCAAATTCAGCTCCCCAGAAAAAACAAAAGTTGAATTTGAACACTATGGTTTTTGCTTCATTTTTGCTATATAACCCCTTTAAATTAATCCAATTGCATTTGACATTTCAACCAATTGTTTTGGTGCTGTGTAGACACAGTCTCAGAGAATATTACTACATTTCTAATACTCCCATCATAATGCTTTTTTGAAAAAAAGTCCAGTGATCCTATTTGCTGACACCAAAGATAATTTTCATACCAGCATTAAATTTGCACCCATTACGTAATTTCAGGGCCTAGAGATATATTTTCTCATAATCAGATGCACAAATCAGAGCCTAAAAAGCAATTTTTTTACTTGACTGTTCAAGCATACTCACAATCTTTGCTTTTTAAAAATCATAATGGACAAACTCAGCTTCTCACGAGCAATACACTTGTTACATCATGTATGACTGATTCTTTATTGCTTCTAACTTGACATGTGGCATTAATTTATGGCACAGCTTTCTTAACCTACCACATTCAACAGAACAGATCACCTGCCATTTGCTCACCCATTATTTTTCAGTCCTTTTGCAAAATTCACCTAAAAAGGTATCTTCTCACTCTTTCATTTGTATGTTTGTTTATTCCAAAACTGCACTTCATATAACATGTTTTGGGGTTCTGTGGAGGTTTTTTTGGTAGAATGAAAGTTGGACTGTTTTTCACCATAAACCATTCAGGTCCTCTCATGGCTACAAGCTTCCCTGAAAGGGGGCAAAGAAAGAGAGTGGAAAATGAGAAGTCTGGATACTCAAGAAGCCCAGACTTCAGTAAATGTTCAGGTAAATGAGTTCTGGAGGTAAGGAACTAAACATGCAGCTGACATAGACCCCAAAATCCAAAGAGAATGTGGGGAAATTCAGAAATTCTAACTGAACATGTCTCTCACTCTGCCCCCTGCCAAAAACCATAATTAATCTTCCAGGACAAAAAAGTAAAAGCACCACACTACTTTTGGACTCATGCCACTCCCATTGCTACCCCAGGTGAATGATCCGTCTTTGCAGGTTAAATGCAAACTTTGCTATACCAAAGAGTCCTAGGACATTTTCACATGAGCTATAAAGGCATTTTCTCTAAGAAAGGTCCTCCCTTCTTTGTACATAAAGGATGAAAACTATGCATTTAGCAAACAAAGAGAAAGCACTTCTCCCTTTCCTATCTAGTTGTTTAGGGTGCATTCAAACACCAGAGGCCATTTTGAGATGCGATTGGCCTTCTGGATTTTTCTTGTGGTGTGGTTAGCTTTACAGTACATTTGGTAACTATTTCCTAAATAGTAAGGACAAAGAAGCAGAAGGTAAGAAATAGCTACTTCCACGTGTAAAAAAAGAAAAAAAAAGAAAAAAAAAGAAAAAAAGTGTAAAGATCTACTATTTATAGTGTGAACCAAAGACGCTACCTCACTCGATTTCCATTGGTGATTTTAATCACATTGATGATACCAAAGAATACCAAAGATATTTTCATGCACGGCCTTGGTCTGCAGAGGGAACTCCGCCCTTTTCCCTCCCCCACCTCTCTTCCCCTCCTCACTCTTCACTCAGTGTGTAAACTTGTCTTCATTCTTAATAATAATGATACGAAATGATAACAACATTAGGAAATACTACTCTTACTACTGCTAGTTCTACTTGTAAATCTCTAGGCAAACATGTTGCAAACTTTGTAAACTCCTAGGATGAGTGCCTTGCTTGAACCAAAGTGTTAAACCGCTGTTGACCTCTCACCTTATACTCTTTGAATACCTCAGCCTCTTAGAAAGGCCACTAATGAAAAAAAAAAAAAGGAATAATTATTCACCGTGGTGCTTTTTCCGTGCAACCATGCAATGAAACTTTCTTTGATACCAAAGGATGACTTCCCCCCCCAATTTCTTGCTGATAAACCAAAGCTCCTCCTCCTCGTTCCCTCTCAAGTTCCCCCCACTTCACCGAGCCCCTTCACCAGGCAGGCCGTGCATCACTTTTACCAATTCCTCCAAATACCTCATAGTAATAAAGTTTTAGGGTTATGTTGTATAGAGAGTCTATGTGATAAGGCAGAACTTACTAGTTTGATAATTGTTAAGGTTACTTTTAAAAAAAACTTTATAATTCTTATTTATTTTGTAGTTTGTATGTTTGGGATGTCCCCCCATCTCTCCCCCCTTCGGTTTGGGGTTTATTTTCTTGGCAGAACTGCTCTGTTGCTCAAGGAAGACTTAATTTCCAGAAATGTTCCCCAGGTGGGTTAAGGGTTGTGTAAAAAATGCAAGAATGGAATAAGAAATGATTCTCCTTTTGATGGTTACTTACGAAGCTTTTGTGTTTTGTAGTAAATTTGTTTCCACAGGGTAAAAAAAAAAAATATATATATATATATATATAATCTGTTTTTTGTGAAACTGGTTCCTATTTTTCTCTATAATGTGCTGTGATTTTTTTTAATTTAATTACATTTTATATGAGCTTATTTAATCACTGCTTTAATTTATGACTGTAGTTTTTAAAATGTATATAGT